ATGAAAAAAACATAATCATTACCTATATTTTTATTCTATCTATACTTAATTGACTATAATCTAGTCTATGCTAATAATTCCCCACCTATGGTTTAAACGCCAAAAGATTATATTCCCACATTTTTATAATTAAAAAATAATTTTTATTTTTTATTATATCTAAAACTTATTTTTTAAGAAAAATTTAATATTTAATTTTAAAATCAAATCACAAAAAAATTAGAAATAGAAAAGATTAATATCACAATATTAAAAAAATTAATTTTTTAAAAATAGTCTTCAAGTATCGACTTTAAAATACCAACTCACAATATAAAAATATTGGATACGCATCAAAAATAAAAAATTTAAAATAAAAAATAATATTTTGATATTTTACATATATGTATTGAAAAAAATATTGGTATCAAATATCAATATGTAAGGCAACTTGAAGTATCAGTGCTTCATAACCTATCACATAAGGCCTTTGGTCTTATTTATTTGTCTAAAATTCAATAAAATTTCAAATTTTTTTTCTATTAAATATACCTATTTTTTTAAAAAATACTTTAACATGTAATAAAATTCCCTACATTTAATAGGGGAAAAATAGTAAAGATGAACATAATAATTATTGAGGTGCCTTATTAATATGACAAAAATATTATCTCCCTTCCCTGTAACACTACAAGAAAAAATGACTTTCAGCGGCAATACTAAAAAGTCACCGCTGATTCTCAACTTTCAACGACGACTATAAAAGTCATCGTTGAAAGTGTGACTTTCTGTGGTGATATTCGAAGTCGCTGCTGAAATAGTGACTTTCTACAGCAACAATATATAGTCACTGCTGATTGTCAAACTTTTAGCGGCGACAAGTGCATGTCACCGCAAAAAGTTACACTTTCAGTGACAATTTTTTAATGCAGCCGCGGATTGTCAATATATTTTAAAATATGTTATAATTTTTTAAAAAAATTATGTTTTAAGTTTCAGCAGCGACATACAAGTCACCGCTGAAAGTTGAGAATCAGCGATGACTTTTTAGTGTTGCCGCTGATTGTTAATATATTTTAAAATATATTATAATTTTTTAAAAAAACTTATGTTATAAGTTTCAGCGGTGACCTATAAGTCACCGCTAAAAGTTAAGAATCAGCAGTTACTTTTTAGTGTCGCTGCTGATTATCAACATATTTTAAAATATGTTATAATTTTTTTAAAAAAACTTATGTTATAAGTTCAGCGGTGACATACAAGTCGTCGCTGAAAGTTAAGAATCAGCGGTGACTTTTTAATGTCGCCACTGATTGTTAACATATTTTAAAATATATTATAATTTTTTTAAAAAAATTATGTTGCAAGTTTTAGTGATGACATACAAGTCACCGCAGAAAGTTGAGAATCGGTGGTGACTTTTTAGTGTCGCCACTGATTCTCAACATATTTTAAAATATATTATAATTTTTTTAAAAAATTATATTGTAAGTTTCAGCGGTGACATATAATTCACCGCTGAAAGTTGAGAATCAACGATGAATTTTTAGTGTCCCCACTGAAAATAAGACTTTTTGCAGCAACTTTAAATGTCACCACTGAAGGTTTAATTTTGTATTATCATCATAATTTTTTATTTTTATTTATCTAATATTTAACATTTTAAGACATTAATTTTGTTGTATTATTGTAATTTTATAATGAATATATAAAATAACATAATGTGTTTTCATTTAATATATTTTATGGTTAAATTGTAACTTTAAGATAAGGTTAAGGTATTATTTAATGTTAATGAGCTAAAGTAAAGAATTAAGCCAAATCATATCATTTTACATGTGTGTTTGTATTAAAAAATTTATAACTAAGATTAAAATTCAACCGAGGTTAGCAAACTAAGATTAATAGAAAAGTCAGTAAATATAATATGATTTATATTTAGATATGTTTTTTTTTAAGTCTGATAGATAAACTAAAATTTATTTGGATAATTTTATTCAAAAGCTAGTTGAGATGTTTAATGGTCAAAATAAGCATAAAGTTTTTAATATATATTTTTTGACTGATTAATAACTAAAAAAAATTAAATTTAAAATTATAACTAATAAGTAAAAAATCTTAAATATTCAAGATAGAAGAGAAGAGAGAGAAAGCATAATTCATCATATCAATGTAGAAGTCAATAACACTAGTTGTTTATAATAATTAAACATGTGATACTTAAATTTATTCATTCATAGAATGATATTTCATCTAATCTAATTTTTCAATTTAAATTCTACATTTAACACCATTAACTTTAAAGCTTGATGCTAGTTTAAAAACATAAATAATTTTAAACTAATGTATAATCAGCAGTAGTTTTACTATTTATTCTTAGATATTTTTTATATTATAATTATAAACATGAATATTAAAATAAATAATATAACAACCTCAACAAGTAAAAAAAATTAAAATAAATAATACAAATCAATTATATTTATAGTTTACTTTAAACAAAATAAATAATATAATTTATAATTTTATAAATTAAAAGAATTAAATTGAAGTATTTAAGGATAGTAATGATATTTTATAATATTTAGTATTTAATATATATGTGTGTTTGTATAGTTTAATAATATGTGTGTGTGTGTATATACTTAATTATGTAATAATAGACTAAAGGTTCATTACAGCTCAGTAACAAAATGGTTGGACACAAAAGGAGGAGGTCATGGGTTCAAATCTTGGAGGAGACAACTTTCAAAATAAAAATATAAATTGATAACATGATAATACGTGGCGTGTGGTGAGAGCGACATATGGATAGTGACATGGAGTCACGTGGTACGAGGTGGGGCCCTATGTGGAGGGTGACATGGCACCACGTGATGCAAGGTGGGTGCCACGTGGCGTGAGGTGGGGGCGACACGTGGAGGATGGCATGGCACCACGTTGACGGTGACATGTTGCCATGTGTGTAAGTGAACCAACATTACTTTTCAGTGGCGAAAAAAAAGTTGCCTTTAATTGGTTGCTTTCGGAGCGACAAATGTTGCCACTGATATTTAACATTCGGCGGCGACAAAATAATCGCCGTTGATGTGTGATTTTTGCAACGACAAAATGCCATTGTTGATTTTTAACTTTTAATAGCGACATTTTTAAATTATAAGATATTTTTTAAAAAAATTTGATATCACAAAATATAAGATACTTTGATAAAGATTTAATATAATGAGTCTTCTTTCTCTTTTACCCCCTCCTGGGGATATTTTAGATTCTCATTCCGTCTAACAATTAAAATCCTCATGGATCCATCCGGTTACTGGAGAAGATGGGACGCTCGTTGTGGTGGAGTGTTGATAAGAAACAATGGAGTTGCTAGATATTGTTAGTTTTGCTTCTTTTGTCATATCCTTTCCTCCTTCCATCACTGAAATGGTTGGCATTTCACAAGGGCTGGATCTATATGTTCTAGGATGAGACTTCAAGGAGTCAATGTTTTTCACAGATCGAGCTAAGGCAGTGAACCTTCTCTTGCGGTATGAGATTGAAAATTATCCGTTCAGAGATATCATCCATTATGCTAGATTCCTCTTATTTAGGAGTAGTTGTCTCCTTGAATTTTATGTTTAGAGAGACTAATTGTTGTAGCCATTTAATTTGTTTGCTAGTTTTGCTATGAATCTTACTGGGTCCTTTTATTCTTTTGATAAACCCTTACCTTAACTATGGTGAACGATGAAAAGAGAAGATCCTTCAGTCTGTACTGATTTCACCTTTCGTGGTTTAATGTGATCACTTTGCATTCAAAAAAAAAAAAAATCATTTTGCTACGCAATTCGCATAGTATATTGTCAGTGTATTTAATTTGATGCTGAAAATTTGATACGCACGTGCATGGATAAACATGCACAGCTCTTTCTTTTGTTTCTTGTTTTGGGTAAAATGCGGGGCCAGAGCCGAATGCATGCCCAGCTCTCTTATCGCCTAGTCAATTGCATTTATTGTCAGTTGTCAGAATTAACTAAAGTCCCGTTAGTTTTAATTTATTTCATTAAAAAATTATTTATTTTTCTAAAAAATTTATTTTGTGAATTTTTATTATATTTATTTAAATTTTTGAAAATAACCAGAATCTAGAAAAAAAATTCTGATTATTTTAAGATGTTACTTTGAGTAGCTTCTGAAAATAATTTAATGTGGCAAATAAGAAAGTATAATTTAAACAGAGAAAATATACAAAAATATATAAAATTAAAATTAAGACATTGTAAAATTTTAAAAAAATAATTAATAATTATTTTCTTACTATCATAACAAAATATAAAATAATATATATTTTTTAATAAAATTTCTATAAAATAAATTTATTTTTATAAAATTTATAAACTATATAAAAATTATTTATTTTTTAATCTTGAATAAACGGGCCCATTGTTGCTGTTGCCGTCGCTTTTCTTATGTTTCCCCCGCAGAGAAAACAAAGTAAACTAAAGAGGGCCTGTATATCAGGATGAGGATGTAGACTTGTCATAGAGGATAGGGCCTATGAAAACCACCCTGAAGCTCCCTTCCACATTTATTTTGTTTTGATGACTATTAATAGAGCTCCAAGAAATTACGGCGAATTTTAACGTCACAACGTTCTTGGTTTAGAATTTTCATGATACTCTCTAATTTGTTTATTACGAGGAGAGTCCGAAGTCCGAAACCTTAACCTTCATTCACCCATTCATTTCTCAACCTGGTTCTTATAACTTGATCTAGTCTTAAGTAGCTTGAATGATACTTTTATTCTTTGTACCACTGTATCTTCAAATACACAACAACAATGTTACGACCTACCATGTTCTTCAAAAAGACAAGAACCCAGGATACCTAAAGGTGGCGAAAAGGTCTCAAGTAGTTGGAATATAATGTCGCCGAAAGGTGGTCCCGAAGACAGTGACTACTAAACATTGACAAATTGTATTCATTTAAGAGCTTAATGTCGATCGAACTTACTATATTAATATTGACTTAGGAGCGGAGAAAACACAAATGCATTGATATCTAAGGAAGCAAAGTTATCCAATATAGTCTACAATCATCATGCTCAGTTATGCACAAGTAGTCATTGCAGGTCTTGCAGTGCTTATCCTCTTCCTTTTTCATTGCTATCAGAGACGATGCTACAAAGATCCCCTCCTTAAAAACTGGCCTATAGTGGGAATGCTACCAACAGGTCTCAGCAATTTAGGTCAGATTCATGACTATATAACTCAGGCTCTTCAAAGAAAAGAGGGTACAGGGAGCTTCGTTGGACCTTGGTTTACTGGAATGAACGGTTTGGTGACTTGCGACCCCATGAACGTACATCACATGATGAGTAAGAATTTCGCCAACTACAAAAAAGGTCCAGAATTTCATGAGATTTTTGAACCTTTCGGGGAAGGGATTTTCACTGCAGATTCAGACACATGGAAGTATCACAGGGCACTTCTCCATTCCTTGTTTAAAACCCCAAGCTTCGAGAAGTTTCTGGAAAAGATCGTTCGAGAGAAGGTGGATTTCTGTCTTTCTCCTCTTCTTGATCACCTAGAAAGGCAGGGAATTGAAGTGGATCTGCAAGACGTGTTTAATCGCTTCAATTTTGATATTATTTGCTCCGTGGTCTTAGGATCTGACCCCAAAAGCCTTGCGGTTGATTTCCCAAAAGTTGCATGTGAGAGAGCTTTCAATGAGGCTGAGGAGTTTATATTCTACAGATACTCGGTACCTAGATGCATCTGGAAACTTCAGAGATGGCTTCGAGTTGGAGCAGAGAAGAAGATGGCTGAAGCATGTCAATTGTTTGACCAATTCCTCTATGAAAGTATAGCATCAAAGAGAGAAGAGCTTAGCAAAAACAATGAAATGAAGGAAACAGACGAGGACTTGCTGACAACTTTGATGAGGGAGGAACAAGGTAAAGAACATGTGAATGACAAGTTTCTAAGAGACACTGCTTTTAATCTTTTTGTCGCAGGTAGAGACACCATAACTTCAGCTCTCACGTGGTTCTTTTGGCTTGTCGCTACACACCCTTCAGTGGAAGCCAAGATTCTTGAAGAAATCAAAGAAGAAAAGGAAATGAAAAATCAAGTGTATCTCCACGGTGCTCTGTGTGAATCTCTGAGACTGTTCCCTCCAATACCTTTTGAGCACAAGCAAGCGACCAAACACGACTCACTTCCTAGTGGACATGAGGTTTATCCTGGTACTATGATATTTTTATCTTTGTACGCAATGGGAAGATGTGAGAAAATATGGGGAAAAGATTGCTTGCAATTCAAACCAGAGAGGTGGATCTCAGAAAGAGGACGCGTCGTTCACATACCTTCATACAAGTTCACTAGTTTCAATGCCGGACCAAGAACTTGTTTGGGTAAGGACTTGTCTTTCATTCAAATGAAGATAATGGCAACTTTTATTTTGAAGAATTATCAAGTTCATGTGGTGAAAGATCATCCCGTTTCTCCAGCACTTTCAATAGTGCTTCTGATGAAGTGTGGTCTCAAAGTTCGGATCATGTCAAGGTGCTGATTATTTTCCTGGGTTCAATCTTTTTATTTTATGTATAATTGTGAAATAACTCATTAAACAGCGCTAAAACAATGAACTTTAACTATGTTATGAGATTGATCAGTGGTAAAATTATTCAGATGATGGAGTACGGGTAACATTTACTCATTCCCTTCAAGTGGTGTGCTGAAACTGCGTTGATTGCATGTGTAAATTATTATATCTGATTTGGATGTTCAACTATTTTTAATATATGTATTACTTATATTAAGTAATTAATAACGATGGTGGATCGATAAGGCTGTTGCAATCACAGTGTATATCTCTATCAGGAGATGGAGACTGCTCATCATGGGTGTTCATAATTAATTAATTTTCTTATATATCTAGACTCTAGAGTGAATATTATTATTAGAATGAAGCTATCTATATGACTCATATGGGTTTCAGCTCATAGACCTAGTTACTTTAAAATTGATAAAGCCCGGTCTTTATTCAAATGATTCAAGGTCGAGTTTATAAGGCCTTTTTATAATTTTTTTTATTTTTTTTTGAATTTTTAAAAGTTAAAAATTTCAATTATAACATTTCAATTTTTTTAAAATACAAATTATCATGTTCAAAAATTCAAAATTAAAAATTTTAAAATAAAATATTAAAAATACTTTACTTTTTAATGGTAAAATAAAAACAGATTTAAACGAGACACTCAAAATCAAGCCTCTTTTTCAACACCTACTTAGACCGGGTTTCAAAGTTTAGATTTTTGAAAAATGTCATTTTTTAAAACCTGATCTTTATTCCTAGCTCTAATTGCAATATTAGGAAAAACTAATTATATTACAATAGATTATATTGTAGTTACAGGAAAGATATGTAGTAAAATATCCAAATTTTGTGGATACGTAAAATTTACACTTATCCCTTTTCTAAATGAGTGGAGAAATGAAAGTAGAACTTTATTTTTTTTTCCTTGATATTTTTAAATTATACGTCCTTCAAGAATAGACGTTGTAAGAGATTTGGAAATTAATATTATTAGTTTGTGCAGGAGTCCACCAATAATTATGAAGGTTTTTTAATTTAAAAACATAAAACTAATATTTAAATAAACACAAAAAAAATTAGATTTATAATACATACTATGGATTAGTGAAATGTCCATATTTTAAGGATATTACGTTAGTGGTATGCAGGTTAGGTTCAATGGATTATTGATGTGAAAGAATTTGTGAACCGCCTATACGTACCATTTCTAATCTATTTGTATTTTATGAATCAAACTTATTCGCAAAAAATTATGTAATTATTATTTTAGTTTTATATATTATGGTTCCATTTGGTCATTAGAAAGAAATAGAATAAAATGAATTAAAAATTAAGATAAAAATTAATTAAATTACCTTCCCTTCGTGGTAAATATGATTAATATATATTATAAAATTATCACACCCTTTAAAAATATTATGAATCATGATTCTCAACTCTATGAGTACTAAATTATTCCTCCCTCTTATGAATGGACTCACCTATATCTTCTGATCATCTTTTTTCTACATTTATTTTTTAATTTATTATATTCTATTGTATTCTAGAAAGCAAACATAACCATAATCTCATCCTCATTACCAGATCATATGCACAACACATTACATGCACATAACTGGATCACATCATTATTGAATGGGATCAATGGATGCTCTAAAATTGAGAATCTCTATGAATTTCATAAAATTTTTTGAAAACGGAGAAGATTTTATATTTTATAAAGAAAATAATAAATTCAAAAAAACAGAAAAAGAAAGAAAAATTCATAAAAATTTATGGATATCAATTTCACTGGATTTGTTCTTAAGAAGAATTTCAGTTAAAGATCATGAAAGGGAGATATTTACTAATGGGTCACAAAAAAATTTAAAAATTCTTTGTAAAATTTTTTGACTTCAACTGACATAAAATAAGTGGCTAAAAAGATTGAAATGCTTTTTTGCAAAATTAATAAGTATTCAGTCACTACCTATCTTTACTTGTTAATTACATGCTTGTACTTATCGATTCCTTAATAGTACTTGTCAAATAGTTAATTAGTTAATTTTGTAACTTCATAGTTTTAAGAATATTACTTGTTAATTTTATAACTTTATTTGTTAATTTGTCAACATGAGTTGTATGGAGTTACAAGTAAAGCATCATTATTAGTTGCTAATTTTCTTACTTTACTTTTTAATTTACCAATATCAGTCATTAATTATCTAACTTCACCTGTCAATAATCATACTAAAATCAATCATTAATTATCTTACTTTTACTTATTAATTTATTAATATCAGTTATAAATTACATGACTTGTCAATAATTATACTAGTTCAATCATTTAGTCCTAAATATATAATCATTAGTTATTAATTATCTAACTTTACTTATTAATTTACTAATATCAGTTGCAACAAAAGGGTATCTTAGTCTTTTCAATCACCCATTTAATTTCAATTTATTCAAAAAATCCTGCAAAAAATTTTAAATTTTTTTGGGGACTCACTGGTAAATATCTCTCTTCCATATGGTAGAAATTCTCCCTTGTGTCTACCCTTATTTATTATATGAACATATTTCAAAGGAGATTACATATAATAAAAGAATATATACGTGCAACAAAAAAATAAATGCATACTTTGTTTGGTAAAAATAAATATGAACTTTAATTATTCAATTCAATTTTGTTTGCTTAGAAAAAAGTATTCTTTTCATATTAAACACACAACAATAACAAAAATGACTTTCGGCCGCCCAAAAGTTGTTGTTAAAAATTTTTAGTAGTAACTTTTTATTGTTAAAGGATTGCCACTAAAAATCTTCTCACTAATGGTTTTTGGCTGTGACAAGCATACTCACCGCCAAAAGTATACCCTTACTACCAAAAATCATTAGCAACTAGATTTTTGATAGCGGAAGGTTTTTGGTGGCAACTTTTAGTTTCAACAAAAAATCACCATGAAAAGTCATTTAAAAAAAATAAAGTAGCCATCTCATGCCATGTCAGTGTCTCCTCATGCCACGTCAACTAATGTAACATCTCAAAAATTTAATCCAAGGTTAATTAAGTTAATCAAGAAAAAATGCATAATTTTAAAAGAGTATTTAGAGATAAATAATTTTAATTAGGAGATTATTGTTAGATTTAATTTAGAATAAATTCAAATCCTAAGTTATGATCTTTTTAAAATTAAAAATTATTATTATATAAAAGAAAAAAACAAGAGAATAGATGGGAAATGGATGTTTGTGCATATGTGTGCAGTGTGTAATATTATTTGAAAAAAAAAATAAGAAGAAAGAAAGAAAGAAGAAGGAAGGAACATTAAATAAATAAAAAAATAAAAAAAATATTAAGAAGGTGGGGCGGCAATCTGTTGGTGTGCGCGTGAGTTTGATATTATATACATTAAAAAAAAGTGGGGGGTGGGGAAGACAGAGGGAGTGGGACAGCACGACCCACACCATTTTACTTCAAATCTCTCTTCTTTGTCTATTTCATTTTCTCTTTTCGATTCCGTGTGCGCGACCACGAAGAGGCCAAGTGCGAGACGCCAACAACAGGATTGATTAAAGAGATAGAGCTTTATAATAAAATATTTTAGATAAAATTTTAAATATTTTAAAATTAGATAAGTATTCTAAGTATTTTTTTAATCATATTTTTTTTTGAGTTGCAGATTTTGAGATTTTAAAAAACTTAAAGTTTGAAAGAGAGATAAATTTTTGATGAATAAATCTGGTTACTGAGGTTGTTGGTAATGTAATAAATATTTTAGAATATTATTTTATTGATAGAATTAGAATTTGAGGCTTTTGAGTTTATCCCTAGATCTTTATGGGTAGATTGTTGGTTAAATTTCTTGATATTTAGATGATTATTGGGGATGAAAAATAAATTATTATAGCTATAGAATAATGACTCTAAGCTTGAGATCAAGTTTGTAATTTTTAAGTATTTTTAGGTGCAAATTTTTGGAATAAAAAGAAAAATTTTGATATTAAAAAATTGTTTTAATGATGATTGTAGCCAAACTTCAATGAAATTATTGTGAATAAGGCTATTAAACCAAGTAGATGGGTTCAAATATATGAAATTAAATTTTAAAACTCAAAAAGCTAAGATTAAGGTTTTTAAAAAAAATGAAATGAAATAAAATAAACACCTAAGTGTTGGAATATGAGTAAAAATTATGTTAATAATATTATTGATACATTGTGATGTGATTTAAATGTAGATTAATTATTATTAAGCTCCAATCAAACTTTAGAAAGTTTTAAAAATGTTGTAATTTGAGGGGCAACATTTGACCTCTTAAAGGATAAAGCAATCAGGGAAAATTTATTTTATACATTTGTGTGTTAATTAATTATTTATGTTTGTGAAACAAATGAATATATATCTAAATTTTAAAATGGTTATTTGTAATGCATATGTGGCTTTGTTGAGACCCTATAATGTGTGATCCAAGTTAATTGTGACTTAATATGAGTAATGAGATTGATAGTTGGTAATGATGGGCATACTTTAGATTATAAATTATGGATTATGCATAGTAATAAATTGTACATGAGCATGATAAGTTTTTTATGATGCCAATATGATTTATGTGGTAATATAAAAAATTGATGCAAGAAGTACGATTGAAATATGATGATTCTTGATACTTGTTGAGGAAGAAAGTTGATGAGCATGTAGGATAATTGTGAATTATATATATGAGTTTTTGAAATACATTTTCTCATGAGAATAATCATATAGCGAGATTTCACCTTAACGAAGGAGTTAGCGGTTGTGAAAATTTCATATGGTGCTTGGCTATTGACCAATAATCCTAGGAATTATGGTCATTACTTACCTTATAAGGTACTGTAACGTTATTCCTATTAAGGGACTTGACCTTGCTAGCCTACCTAGAGTTTTGGGCTAGTCTTGAGTATGACACCTTATAGTGTGCAATTTGGGAGAAACCGTATTTATAAGTGAGTAAAGTAACCCTAGCTCGATAGTCCCTCATGATATGATTAAGACCTTGAGTAGTCTCACCACATGGATGATCCCTTCCAGTTGTGGGCCCATGAATTTTGTGTCAGAGGAAATAAGAG